GTGGTGAGCTGGGGTTCCTGCACACCTTCATCCCCCATCACATCTGTCCAGCTTGACCCTGGCCCTGCCCCACCGCAAACAGATTTGGGGAGCCCGGGAAGAGCACCGAGCTCCCACCTGCACCCCCACCCAGCCACCACTGAATCACGTCGGAGGAGAGCTCATGGGCTGCACCCGTCAGCAGAGGCCCTATGGCCCTGTTGTAGCGGGTATTGAACCATGTAGAGTTGTTGGTGCCCATGGTGCAGCAGCCAATGGGGCCGTCAAGGTGGGAGGGAGCCCAAAGGACGGGGCCGAGGCCATCTGTGGGAGCTCGGAAACATTGCCACAGGACCAGCAGCAGGCACAGGGCCAGCACAACCTGCGTGCGCCTCTGGCACCACATCCTTCATGCCACCTGCAGCAAGATGTGACAGGGACCAGTGGCAATGGTACCACAGGACCCCTTCCCACGCACCCTCCCATGCACCCTCCCTGCCCAATCTCCTGGGACTCCAACCCTGCAGGGACCTGAAATAGCCTGGTACACATTTCCTTTTCAAACCGTTCAATGGCTTTATTGCTGTGCTCCACTTCTGGCACTGCCGCCGTTACTTAGGTCTGGGCAGGGCTGGCTGGCAGCACATGCTGTACGAAGAGCTGCTCTCTGCCTGCAACACTTTTAGGTTCCACAAATTGACCTGCAAACAAGCAGCAAAGCATCGTCACCCAGACAGTGAGCCAAACCCCAGCTCTCCTCCAGAGCAGCAGCCGCCTGCCGACAAAGCTGCTCCTCTGCCCGCAGGGAGCCCTGCCGCCTCCTCCCCATGCGCGCGGACGATGTGAGGCAGCGGCTGGGCAGAGGAGCCCCTTGGCCTCACCACCACCACCGAGCCCACGCAGGCACCATGCAGCCTGTGAGGAGCTCCCTCCCCAGCGGCCCTGGCATTTTGCAGCTTCAAGGGTGCTGAATCATCGCCAGGAGGAAGGAACAGGGGATACTAACTACCATCTCTGTGCATGAACCTTTCTTGAATACCCGTATTTAAGTGGCATTTCTGTTCTCCATCTACAAGCACTCATATAAATCTAAAGTCAGAGGGAAAAGTGTTTTCTCATCCTTAGGGAGATCACAAAGTGCTCAGCCTCTCAGGACCTGGCTTCCATGGGCCAAGGCAAGAGCAAGGAGCAGG